AAACAAATTACATCAATTCTCACAACATTCCTTTGAAGGTGAATCAGTAAGTTTAAATCCTTATTGCCAACACTGGAGAAAGAGAGGGGTTTAAATAAAAACATTTATATGACTAGGTGAATAATGGTGTGGGACTCGACACCGGCAAAGTCCATTAATTATTTTAAACCTTAGCTAAATTCTCCTCTAGGAGTCAAAGTAGCCAAAGAGCTACAGTATTCCAACAGAGGGAAGAGTTTGACAAAAACATACCAAATTAAGAGAAGTGAACTTAATGGAAGAAAAGGAGTTTGTAACCTTGATTTAAGTCTATCAAGTCTAACCAAGTCTAGTAATCAAAAGATTACTTCTTATGCAATCCAGTCTCATGCCTATTTGTACAAAATGGTTTCTCTATATGCCAACTAGTTTCAAATTTTTAATTTTAATTACTGCAAGAACAAGTCTTTTTGGCCGCAAAACTGTTGCCTCTCTGCATTCTGACACCATCATTTCAAAGGGACTCATGAATTTTCACTGTTGCTCTCCTCCCTAATTTTTGAGGAAGTATTTTTAACAATAAAATACTGATGAATTTTTTAGCGCTTTATTAGTCAAAGTCTGAGAAAAATTATTCTTGAGTATTAACATTTTAAGCAAATAGAAATTGAGTGTATTTAAACATAACTATATTTAATGAATCATTATCTGGATCTAATCTTTAATAGTGGTGCAAAGCAGCACTTTTGCACACCATGACAATATAACTAAAAGTGAACTAAGCTGAGAAGAGATCAAAATAAGAACTAGGTAACTGTTGAAAGAAAGAATGGGTGAAGAACTGAAGAAGCAATGTAAGGGATGACAAAGAGAAAGACCAGTCTCTGAATAGCAGGTGGGTATACACACATACAATACACCCCGTTTGTAAAGTCTGCTTGGGCTAATATCAACACTGAAATGACTTAAGCAACTCACCATCTGGCTAATGAGAATATTATGGGTCGTGAAGCCTAAAAGTGTTTGGTTTTTTTTTTCCCCTACTAGATGATCGCTATATGAAGTATGTCATTTTAATCTCTAATGCATTAATTAACTCATACTTTACAATACTTAACATCAAACCAGGGTTTTACAGGCTGGATCTTATTCATTAGTATCCTAATTTATATGAGGAGGGGTTTAAACTAGCTGATAGCCAAGTTGCTTCAAATTCTAGACTCCAATGAATAAGATTCTACATCTACAGATTTGAAGCTAATGTCTGTCCTTTACCAGTTTGTTAATGTATCACCCAGATACTTATCGGCGTAGTAGTTTATCTTATTTCTCCAGAAAATTCTGTCCCGGCCAAGTCTCTGTAGTCACATAATTTAACAGGAATGGTCTTATATACATCTTATCTCATCCCAAACCTAGACCATGGTAAAGTGTCAGTACTAGATACCCATACAGTCCCTTTTCCAGTCACCATACCTCAGATGAAAATGAGATGTAAGTAAAGTATAAGGGAATCGAGTGGGCCTAATACTACCAAGGAGTAACACTGAAGGATCTAACCCTTTGAGAGCTAATAATATAACTGGTTTATTTAGTGGTAAAAAATGAGAATAACCCATACGCTACACTAAATGATATTCAAAGAGAAAGAGGAAAATCCACGCACCCAGTATAGAGAAAAATGCCATGGACTATGAATGTAGAAACAAAGACTCTGCCCTGGACAAGATTTATGAGAATTAAGCTTAGCCTTAGGTCAAAGAAGTGAATAAAAACCTTTCCATCCAATTCGTAAAATGTGAAGTTTTACAGAGTGATGGGTCCCTGCTAATTTCTTAAGGTACCATCCCTAAGAGCTATGGCTACAATACCCTAGCCAGCCTTGTTGTGCAGAAAAAACAATGGATCCTTTGAGCCCAGTGAAAAGGAAGCCCTGGGAGATCAGATCTATCAAATTTAGGCCAAAGGACACAGCACCACTGCTATTGCTTGACAAGAGTGACAACCTCTCCAGGAAAGAATAGCTGGGCAAGAAGAGATTGGCTCAGCTATATACTCTCTTGGGATGGCAGGACAGAGTACTCAGAGATGAACAAGGAAATCAGAGGTCCCATGAAAGAGCCAATAATCATTCTGCATACCAGTGTAATAAGCCTTCTCATCAGATCTTGAGACTAAGACTGCCAGAGAAGACAAAAATCTAAGAACTGGGGATCCCATTAACAGCTGATAAGACAATATTTTTCTCTACTTCTGAAGACCAGTGTCCTCACCTCATTTTTACTTATAGATACTATTTTAGTCAACTGTGAACCTTAGCTTGAACTAATATAAAAATATATACATGTTCATGTCTGGAGATCAATGTTATCATTTAGGACCCACGTAGTCAGTGTAAAGTATGAAGACTTCGCTAGCTTAAGACAGTCTATGTGGCATTCCAGGAACAATCATTCTAACGAAATACAGACTGAAGATTAGTCCCCTGAAATGAAGTTACAATCAGCAATTCACATACTTATTCAAGCACATTATCTATTACTGGGAAGCAACAAGAAGGACAAGCTTCAGGGACTTCAGCCTAAATAAACTGATGTTTATACTTACAAGAATAAACAATTCTAATGGATATGCTAATAATCATTCCTTATTTACAGACATTAGTACTCTAAACTTGACCTACTGCTATACACACACAGATACAAGATGATGTATTTTATCTATCTTGCTAAGACAACAGCAGAGAGAAGGTAGGGGGACCCTAATACTCCAAACTATTAGAACTCGACATTAAATAAAGGGGGGAAAAATCTACATAAACACTTCCTATTCTTTTATACTGTAAATAGAAGGGATAGGAAGGCTGCCCAGCCAATATGTCAATTCTCGCCGCTGAGTTACACAGTAATGTGTTTACAGAGTCAAAGAAAATTTCAAATCATACAATTTCATGCCAGTTTGGATAACCCAACATCCTATTAGTTTTCCAAATTCCAAAAGGTTGTCTCGAAAGAATAGTTCCTTTGAGAAAATAGGATAAACCATCTGTCCAAATACACCTGGACAAACCATGAGTTCAGATTTGGGGACCTAGTTTTTGTTCTTCCCAAACAGACTTGGTAACCTTGGACATGTCACAGTCTCAACCTCCATACAACCTCCTATCTATTTGATGCCAGGTTATAAATCTCAAGAATGAAATTGAGAAAAGAATTCTGCAAGGCACTCTAAGCTCTTCAGAAATACATGCTATCCATAATGAGTTATTTTTTCATCTACAGATTCAGTCTATCAGGAAGCCTCCTGAAGATGGGAAGACATGCTACCTGATAATTTCTAAAATCAACTTTGGACTAATCAAGTTCATCATAATAAACTAGTTTATAGACTCCAAAAAATTTTAAGACATTAGGACCGAGTTTTGATTCAAAATCTACGAAATCATCTCTAAAATTAATTTCCCCTAAAGAATACAAGCTTAATAAAATCATGCAATTTAAAAAGTATCAGAGATTAAAGAAAGTCAAAGAAAACAGTCACACAAGTAGCTTCCTTCATCTCTTACGGAGGACAAAGGGCAGTGTGGAGTACACACAGACAAAGTAATACAAAACCTGCAGAGCTTTTCTAACATCTTTTGTACCTTTTCTAAGGGGAAATAGCCTGTGAAAAACAGATTCTCACCCATGGATGTTGCAACGAGGTATGAAGCCATGTCAAGATAGAGGGTCCTACAATTACACAAGTCCTGTAATATCTGCCACAAGACACACTGCTAAACCCAGAAGTTCCTGTTCATGGCACCTTTTGAACATGCTAACCATCCTATAGAAAGACTATACTGACAATCTACCAATGGCAAAGCATGTACTCTGAGTTTTCTGTTACTGATGGCCAATCTGTGTTGAAACATCCTCATGTTCTAAGTAATTATAACAACGAAAACATAGAGGCTGTGTACAGACGGCAAGTCTTTTCAGAAAAAAAACTTATCAAGGATGCAATATGACCTCAGAATTAAATTTTCCCTCTAAAAATTCAACCTTAATATATCATGATGTAATCAATTAGGGCAACCCAGCACACAATGGCAGTGTCAATTTTTCTTCAAGTTTCTGGACATATCTTCCAACTGGATCCACTTGGGAAGGCTTTTGGCTAATAGAAAATGCTGCCAAATGACAAGAATAAAGCTAAAAAATTAGTGGAGGATGAATAATAATATCTTTAGTTAACCAAACACTGTTTGGGGGCCGGTAATTCCCAAACTATATGGACAACCTTAATTTGGTGAATAAATGTGGGGATCATCAGTAATGTTTACTTCATTTTCTCCCCCATAATCACTTAACAATACAATCATGACATGAAACTTTATACACAAGACTTGGTGGTTATTAGAATATAGTTCACTTCAACTTCAGTCAAAGTAGGAAAAAAAAGGAACTAGAACATAGTTCCTTAAGCATAGTTCCTTAACATTTCATATACTGGTGGTACAAAAATACCTACAGAAGAACATTCTTCCTTTCTTTTGGCAACCAGAATCCATAGGCTCATGCTTACAAAATGCATCTGGCAAACTAACCAACTTGTCCTGAAACAAGTACCATACAAGCACATTAGTTAGATTTTCACTATTGATTGTACGATGTCTAAGAATTCAGTTGTGGTTTTCCTAACTGTGGTAGAAATTACAGAGACAGAGGAAAAACTTAGAAATGAGCAAATCTTCTACTTCATTCAGATAAAAAGACCCAACAAGACTTGGCAGTACACACAGTATATCTTACTCATGATATCTTAACATATATTCTGCTCTAACTGCTCTACGAGAATAATTGGTCTCTCCTTACTTTGGTATGGAAAATTTCAAACCTCATTTGCACATTTCAGTCTGTTAAACAAGTTCTGTTTCATTTAATTTGAAGATTTACTTTCATCCATCTCTGGGAAAATAAAGTCTTGCAAATAGATGATTTTCTGCTAAGTAAAATTTGGCTAAAACCTACAAAGTAAACAATGCCTGAGAGATGCAACAGTTACATAATTTTTTCCAAAGACCAGTATTTTAAGTTAGTGTTTCACCATACCCTTAAGTTCATAAAGAGAAATAAACAAACATGAAAATTCCAAGTGAACACACAGCAAAAAGTCCAATATTTAGTATTAGTTTAACTTGTGGAGTCTCTTCCAACATTTGTAAACAAACAGCCTCCTCCTCCACCAGGTCTCTGAGACTTCTCTTGCTGAGGCTCTTACTTTTAAAGCCACAAAACCAGTCTATGAACTTCCAGTACTGGCCTCCATCCTCTGTTTCTTTTTTTCTCTCTTTCTCACCCATGAGAGCTGCTTGCCCATTGGAATAAGCATCTACCGGTGTTTCTGCCTCTGAATGACCTAAGGAAGCCACTGGGTTGCCCTCCTCTCTGCAGGTCACCAACAGATTAACATCTTCAGGCTGAAGACCCTTAATACTATCTTCAGATTTCCCATTGGGAATGATGTGGTTGATGGCCTCACTATTCTCATTGCATCTCAGAATGCTCTTTTCTTGCATTTTGTATGGCTCATCTTTCGGGGAGCAGCTCTCCTTCACCACCAGGCTCTTTTTAGACCAAAAGGTAGTGGTACGAATCTGTTCCTTTGCAGGAGGTGGCGTGAGAAGGCTAACAATTATAGTAATGAGTCCTGTGACCCAAAACAATGCTGTGGCCACATACATATAATGAATGTCTTTGATGAAGCCTGGCCTGTTATCAGGTTGGTCACACTCTGGGGCACGGTAGGCAAAGGCCAGTATCAAACGGACTGCTCCAAGAACAAAGCCAGCCATTCCACCATAGAAAGCCCCTTGTTCATTGCAGCGCTTCCAGAAAATTGCCAGAAGGAACAGAGCTGCCACTGGGGGCGTCAGGTAATCTGCTACCTCCTGAATGTAAAGGTACATCTGGCCTCCTTGCATCTCCACGATGATTGGCACCCATGCTATGCTGATCACCACCATAAAAGCCACAAATATCCTCCCCACAATCATTAGTTCCCGGGAGCTTGCGTTCTTGCGGATGAGTTTGTACACATCAAGGGTGAATATGGTACTGGCACTGTTAAAGATAGAGTCCAAGTCACTCATGAGAGCTGCAATCATCACTGCCATCATTAAGCCCCGAAGGCCAACAGGAACCAGCTTCATGACCAGGCGTGGGTAAGCAATATTGGAGCACCCAGCTCTGCTTCCACATACTTGCATGCAGTGCTCTGGGTTGATGCAAGCTATGTCATCAGCGAACAGAATCCTGGAAATCATTCCTGGGACAACTATGATAAACATTGGCAGAAGCTTCAAGAAGCCAGCCATAAGAGTAGAGCCTTTGGCATGAGCAATGTTTTTAGCTGCTAGGACCCTCTGCACGATGACTTGGTCAGCACACCAGTACCATACTGAGGCTGGGGTCTGCCCAAGAATGAATCCAGGCCAAGGAACATCTTCATCTGTTGGATTCCGCAACATTTTCAGGGCTTCTTTCTTAGGGTGTACATTACAAGAATTTGTGTTGGAAAGGTTGTATGTCAACAAGATGGAAGTGACATTGGGTGAGGCCAACATATACCTTCTCTTAACTTCCTCAAACCCGCCAATCTCCATTATACTAATAATCATAAGCGTCAGTGCCCCAACAATCATGAGCAGAGCCTGTAGAGTGTCTGTGTAGATCACTGCAACAAGGCCTCCGGTGACAGTCAGCAAAGCAGTCATGCCAATGAGCAGGATGACAGACACATAAAGGTTCCAACCCAAAGACTCCTGGATAAAGAGGGCACCCGAATACAGATCCACTGAGAGCTTGGTGAAGATATAGAGAATCAGAGACAAGGCTGCAAAATACACCTGAATCCTATGGCCACCAAATCGCTTGGACAAGTATTCAGGCATGGTGTATACCCCTGACCGGATGTAAATCGGGATGAAAACCCATCCCAGAAGTTGCAAAAGCAGTAAGGCATTGAATTCCCATGCGCCTACTGCAAATCCACTTGCAGATCCAGATCCTGCCAGCCCAATGAAGTGCTCACTCCCAATATTGCTCACAAACAGAGAGGCACCAATTGCTACCCAGGTCATAGAGCGCCCCGCCAGGAAGTATCCACTCACGGTGCTTCTGTTAGATTTCCACATGGCAAAAAAACCAATGCACATGACCAGGATAAAATATAGGGCCACTATGGCTATGTCTGCTGTCTCCAGTACAGCCCTCATTCTGGTAACTTGTGAATAAAAGCGTCCAATGACAGAAGTCTCCGACTTTTTATTTACTTATAATAACCCCAGCCAAGTCTGTAAACCATACGTGAACTGGACTACACAGAGCAACACAGCAGGTAGTCTTTGTCCTTTGGTTTGCTGTCTTGATGGTGGTGGTTGTGATAAACTTTGAAGGAGACAGTTTAAATTTTCCTCCGCTTCTTAATTGAGATTGAGAATTTAGCTCTTAATCCACTCTCCACAAGACCATCAGCATTTACTCAGGTGCTGGAGGAGAAATTCTGAGTTGCAGCTAAGTCTAGTGAAGCCTACTGTACCAACCCTGCAAGGCAGCAAAGACAAAAGACAAAGATTGAATTAGAGGAGGGTCTCACCAAGTGATGAGGAAACTTTCAGTCTAGCAAAACACGGCGCAACAAGACATTATTTATAAAAAGAAAAAAAAACTTTTAAAATACACTTCAATTCCACAAGAAAGAGCAATCTATGCTATCACAGCTGATACTTAAAGTCAGGGAGAATATTTAACATTTTCACTAAGAACAAAAATTCATCAACCTCATAACTAAGAGGCCTAAGTTCTCCAGCAACTAACTGCCCACTATGACATTGCCCTTTCTTGTCATACTGTGGTAGTCCTGGATTAGAAAAGGCATCAAGATCTTAAAGCACCCTAACGGGGAGGAAAAACACTAATTATTCATAATAACAGAGTGAAAATGAATCTTCAAATACTATGAATCCCGAGAGTATATAGGGCTAAACTTTACAGCCAGCTAGGGTCCTTAATTGAACAGGCAGGTGGTTTTTACTAGATGTTATCATCTACCTCCAAAGAATTTAAACACAGAAAATCAAGTATTGCTCATTGTGTGCAAACCTATTGCTACAAAACTTTCCTAGATTCCTACTGTAAATATTTACCTACAAATGTATATAGTTATCATACAGTAACCCAGAATTTGTGAGATGCCTCCTGCCCTAATGGGAAGCAAGACATTCCACATAAAAAACTAGGAACATATGACTTACAAAACAAACCTAAAATTGTATTCTTTCTGCTAGTTTGAAAACACTGGAAGAAGATAAAAAGAAAATTTTTAAATGGGATAATTTCCTTCCCTTCTTTTTCATCAGGCAATATTTCTAAGAGAACTTCTGAGAACATAAAGGCACTGATTCAAGGTTTTATTTTGCTGAATATTTTTTCATTTTAATGCTTTTTCATTGAAGGGTATAGAAAGCAGGGGGCGGGAGGGAAGAGAAAAGCTTTCTGGAAGACTGAAAAATAATTTGATTATTATGTCTTCCAAATCTCAAAACAGACATTTGTCAACTATTAGATAACAAGTCATCTACAAGTCATCTTCAATAAGTTAATCAGATATTTTTCAGTCCTGGATTAAGAAAATCACTCTACAAAACAGACATTTAAATTTACCTAAAATCAAGTTTATGAATTTGATGATTTTTCTCCTGGAAAAGAGACAAATTCTGAAGCTTCAAAGTTAATTATAATTGCAGCTGACAGATCAAAATGAAAAATACTATTATTCAATCTAATGCCTTCCTCATGTTAACTCCTAAGTGATTTCTCCTTTTGTAATAAGGCAACCTCAGAGTAAAGTGTTTTTCCATGCTTGAAAAAGCAGTTGCTTTCTGATAAATCTAGGATTTTTTCTTTTGAAATCAGTAGTAAATTTAAGTCCTACAAATGATATTAAAGCTACCTCTTTTCAAAACTGTTCAAAATCGACCACAGTACTAAAAATTTAAAAACACGCTTCTTACTGGCAAGAAAAGGAGCCCAGCATAACGCCTGAAGACCAATGCTCTAACCAAAAAGGCTGGTAGGTCTAATTCATAAAGCTGCCTAGATAGAAATGTATTAATCCCACCTTCATGCCTTTTTTATATATTTTTTTTAACATAAAGCACTAAGAAAACTGATTAATATCCTTCCTCCTAAAAGTCAGTGTCAATGGCTGGCATAAATAAAATTGTCAGACAAAAGCAAAAAAGATACAAAGTTGGGATCTGTATCACTTCACACCTGCCAAATCCTGAATTGGTCCTATTTCTATGATCCCACCACCCCCCCCAAAACTTCCGAGTTTTTAAAGAAATACTTCAACATTATTTAGAAAGAATCACCTAGCGCCAGCCCATGGCTCACTTGGGAGAGTGTGGTGCTGATAACACCAAGGCCATGGGTTCGAATCCCTATATAGGGATGGCCGGTTAGCTCACTTCAGAGAGCATGGTGCTGACAACATCAACTCAAGGGTTAAGATCTCCATACTGGTCATCTTTAAAAAAAAAAAAAAAAAGAAAGAAAGAAGCACCTAAATTTTTAATAAAACCTAATCTAGTGACAAATAAACATTATTTAAGAGGGTACTTTTATATGTTTCATTATAAGGGATAGCTCCTCAATTACAATGAGAACTGTGGCTGGCAGTTAGGAAATGCCACCTTCAATAGAGCTCTCCATCCTATTACCCAACATCTAACCTAATAACCTATACAGATAAGCCTAGCTCACTGGTCATTAGACCTTTTTATCAGGTACTGCTCTTCTCTCAGTGGCAGTAGATGACCATATGTTTCCCAAGATGGAAGAGAGAGAAAAATTCCTAGGGAATTTTTTTTGTTTGGCGGGGAGGTAGGGTGAGGTATGTGTCATAGCAGCTGCAGTTGCAGCAGTGCTCAGAAACAAAAGAAGCCTTTCCTTTCTCAATCACTAGGGAGCACTGAATATCAATAACATCATTATCAATATCAGATATGATTTATGCAAGGCATGTATCTAAGCCGCATTCTGCTCCCTGTTGAATGCTCAGACTGTTTGAAATTCCCATGCAAGGCCTAACCTCTAACTTATCCAGAAGAGCAGATAAACTAGAAAAGATGTTCTGCCCACAGGAGAGGTAGCAGGGCATGGCCAAACACTAGCTCAAGGCTGAGTTCTCAAGTCTTTCTGCCTGTTTCTCCTCAGACCCTTCAAAAGCCATTGCTGATGGTCCGTTTCTCACTGGATACCACAGCAGTCTGTAGGTAAGTTTTAAGATTTTTCCAACTTAAAATACATCCAGAAACCAACACCTGGCAAAGACTGGAAAAGGAAAACAAAGCTAAAAATAGGTCAATTTTGTTTGTAGAAAGATATAAAATAGTATAATACAATGCAGCTAAATTTCATACATAAATTTCATACATAAATTTCATACATAAAAAGAGACTGTTACAGCCTTGAATTTCTTCGGCCTTTCAGGAGATAAATTATACATTCCTTAAAAGTGGTTCCAAATAAAATATAAAATAAGTTATTTTTTTTTCTTTCTTTTAGAGCAGTAACCATTTCTTCAATAAAAATACAATGAACATAATCCAGAGTTCCTTTATTTTTAGGAAGACTATATGTGGGAAAATCTTTTCTTCAACTAACATGAAGCGTTTTAACTTGTATTTCTGTACCTATGTGCCTTTTTTCACAGTTCGGGCAAACCCCTTAAGTGAGAGGGGCAAGTAATAAAACAGGTATAGTTACAAAAAGTATGTGGGTTGGTTCATTGGTAGTACATTTAAAAAAAAAATACTTCTATAATGAGAGAAATTATTTGTGGATTGTACAAAAAACAGTCCCCTAGTGGTGATGGGCAGATTTATCCAAACCTCAAACACAAAGGTGTTTTGAAACGGAGCAGATTCCCCTCAAAAGAAAGGGCTTCCTTCTCAGAAAGTAATGCTTTATTGATAGTTTACACAGAATTGGAATGCAATTTTCATACTATTTCATGTATTTGGATGAATTAAATTATAAATTAATCCAGAGAAGTACACATAAATATTTGCTACAGTAGACCAACTACAAAGAGGAAAAAAGGTAAGACCAAATTTAAATCAGCTATTAAACTCTTTCAGATAATATAAAATATGTTAACCAAAATACAATTAGTTAAAATGACCAAATCTCTCTTTTACTATCTAGGGTGAACATATAACTTATCTTCCAATCTAGGAAATTATTCTGGAACAATATGTAAAATCCAGTATGTATGGTCACTCTATCTTAAAAAAATAAAATTCACCTGTCATAAAAACCAAACAGAACAAGGAAAATGATCCCTAAACTCAGTCAGGACTCCAAGTCATAGTAAATTCAATGACACATGCAGGTGCCCTAAAAGTGACTGAACAACAATCCCTTCAGCTTTCGGATCGATTTTGGGGTCGTAGTACCATCTGAACAGGCCCGGCCTAGTACTCCGTCAATGGTAAGGCTTGATGAGTCCTGCTCATACTCTGATCCAAATGAAAAATATTCACCTTATCAGGTAGCAATTTAAGGGTTATAAAACAGACACCTCTGAAAACGTGATTGCCTGAATTATAATCACCTTTCCCAAAAACAAAGAAAAAATACCAGCACACCCATGTCTTGTTTTCTGTCCACCTCAACCCCTAAACAGCAAGAGACAAAGGCTCTCACTACCACCAGATTTCATGATTCTGTAAGAAAGGTGGGTTTAGTTACCACCATACATGTGTAGGTGACATGATATAGCAGAAAGCAGCCAAGCTTTGAAAGGCTGGGCTCCAAGCTCTGTCACTTCCTAATTGTCACTTCCAACCTTAGACAAACAACTAAATCTCTACGAGCTTGAACTGTATCTTTTGTAAAATGAAATCACTACCTAGCCCCTAATGGTTGAATAAAGAATAAGTAACATATAGAAAGCTCATAATATTGCCAAGTATGACAGGCAGGTGGCTCAGCAAATGTCAGTTTACTCTCCAAGTGATGGACTGGAAGTGATGATATCAGCTCCTTTCAAATTAAACTGTCAATTATATGCCAGGCATATTAAGATCTTCACAAAAGTTATAACCTTCTACTAACCAGAACAGTTCTACTCTTATCCGTTTCCCATGGGGGGGGAAGGGAGAGAAGGATGGATGGTTTTCCATGAAAGTAAACATTTCTTCTAACAAAATCTTATTCACCTAGAAAAGTTCATAAACCATCAGATTTACCACTTCATTCATATACACCCCCATATATTCATTTAATCTGCTTCTATCAATATAAAAGTTTGTCTCATATGAATTTTTTTTTTTTCCTTTTTTGTCTTTTTTCGTGTCCGGCAACGGATCGCAACCCTCAGTGTCACGCCCGTACCGGACCGGGACCGGCAACGGGATCGCAACCCTCGGTGCTGCGCCCACACCTCGCTCAGCCAGTGAGCGGGAACCGGTCTGTATGTGGGATCCGAACCCTCGATGGGAGCGCGGCGCTCCCAAGCGGTGCACTGTAGCAGTGCGCCACCGGGCCGGCCCCGTGAATTTTTTTTTTTAAAGAAGCTAATAAATAAAACCTTTGGGGTATGGAGAAACAACTGTAAAACTACCACTGGTTGTAACTTTTATGTGGATAATACTAGATCATGTAAAAGGAGCAAACTCTACAACTTATCTTTTTGAGGGGAATGAAAATA